CTATAGTAAAGCATGGTACAATGCACTAGTAACACTAATATGCATGTATGTACAGATGTTCGTACGAAACCAGCAAATACTTACACATATGCATATAAACCCATGTGTATATCTATATGCTTATATACCTCTCTCTCTCTCTATATATATATATATATAATTAGACTCTAGTGGAACCTCTGAGATCCTTGTGTGGTACAGAGCTGTGCCTCCATGCCCAGCATCCCAAAACTGTATATAAACCCAAAGGCTTGCAGCACTTTTCTTGCGGCCGCGCAGAGGATGTAGGGCTTTAGGGTTATAGTGACTTTAGTGTTTATGGTCGAAGGCTTTGGGCTTTCGTGGGGACTAGCTTGGATTTAGGGTTTAGGGTTTAGGGTTTAGGGGGGCTCATATACGGTTTCCAGTTAGGGGAGAGAGTTGAGGGACCACTCTCCAAATCATCCAAGGGCATCGAGAATTGCTAACGGCTTCAGGCCCGGTATATAGTTTGCGAGCTTTTGAAGCCAAACATGCAAAAAAAGGCACCCTTGCTCCAAACACGAAACCTACTCAACATCGAAACCCTAAACCCTGAACCCCTAAACCCTGAAGCCGCGAAAAGCACTGAAGAGCAGTCCTGGACCTTGTAAACCCCGAAAACCTACAGTACACCTTCACACGGTGAAGCCGTGAAGCCCCCAATTGCAACATAATTGAAACCCCAAAACCCTGCAAACCAAACATAATAAAGGGGGCTTAATAATTAGAATAGGGTTCGAGGTACAGTATAATACTACAAGTATAAAAAGGAACCCCCAAAATCCTATTCTAATTATATAGTAAAGCCCCTACACTAAAGACACGCAAGCCCTTGGCGCAGTCAACCTGCAAGCACATCCAGGCGTCCACGGCGACATTTGAGGCACAAGCCGCTTCGCGGATGTGGGAATCCCAGTGGCAAAGGGACCTCGGGGTGAAAACGGGTCTCTTTCTGGGCTTCTGATTAGTTTCTTCTCTGTTATCAGCCAATGTGTATAGATTGTGGGCTTAAGTCTGGGATTTGGTGTTTAGCGTTTGC